ACACACACACACACACACACACACACACACACACACACACACACACACACACACACACACACACACACAAGCTTCTCAAACACGTGCTAAGACATGCACACACGCGCTCTCTCACCAAACTGAAGACCAGCGTGGCTTGTCCGGTGTGTGTTTGTGCGTAATAAACAGGACGGCGTCCTAGGGGGCGCTAGTAAAACTGATTGAGGAGGGGGTTTTTCTCTTCCTGTTCCTCTGTCTGCCCGTTCCATTCCTCACCACATCAGGCTATATTGCTTTGACTTCCAAGATGGTGCGTTTTATTAAACTGTTTCTGAGACTCCTCTTTCCTGGAAGGATCTCCATTTGAGACAGTCAGACCCTCCCTTCAATAATCCTTCATTTCTTCTGTTTTCTGACATTTAATAGTTTGATTTGAAGAGGAAGCATATAAAAAGACATTTTTTGGGTGTTTTTTGCAGGATGCTGTTTTCCGAGTCACATTTTAGAGCGTTTAAAAAATGAAAAAAGGAAAAGGAATTGAGCGTCTTTGGATTTCTTCCATGATTGTTGAGGTTGCAGGGGGGTGTGGGTGCTCGTGTGGGCGCGGGGGGGTCTAAGTCACTTTTAAAAGCAAAAAAAAAAAAAGAACCCTTTTCCATGTAAATAAGATTTCTAAATTTTGGGTTATAGATTTGTATGAAATATATATGAAAAAAACAAACAAAAAATATGTAATGTGATGGCAAGAATGAATATGTTAGATGATAAATCAATTGAAAATGGAGGTGAAGAGGTGCTTTAGCTACAACGTATTCTGGCGGTGAGGTGCAGTGGAGTGAATAATAGATTCTGTCAGTGGAGGGAAGCGCTTCAAAGAATTTCATTAAGTTTGTATATGCAAAGATGAGAGGCAGAGATGACAAGACTCGGACTCAAAATCCCTTTCCTGACCCCAAAAAACCAAGGAGACTACCTTGTCCAAACTGCGGCCATGTGTTTTTCAAGCATCGCAGAATCGCAGCACCGTTCTCCAATCAGACCTCACGAATAAAACGTTCCTGTGCGCTTGAAACCAAATATAAATTCCAAACTATGAAACCTAAAAGAGTCACTTTGATGTGTAGCCATGTTCATTTGTCTTCTTACTGTAAATTGTCATATATTGTATATCTAAAGATAAAACAAATTTCTATGCCACCGATATAAGTTTATTGTTTTTTAGGATATGCCCTTAAAAGACGTCACGGATAACGAAGACGTTTTTATAAACCGAGTCATAAATGTCCCTTTGGTACTGTAGCTCTACGGTCTTCATACATTAGAGCTGCAGTTTATCGTAGTCCTCCTCCTCTGTGACACTCAGATTCACCTCTGCACAGAAAAAGGATTCTCTGTCTGAAAACATGTTTTTCCCTCTGACTGGATTGTATTTTAATTTATCCACTGCTGCTTTTGGTATTATTATTGTTATTATTACAAGCTTTAATTTCCCTTTCTGTTCTTTTCTCTTTGCCCCTTTTTTCATCTGTCATTATTGCTCAGCTGGAGCCACAGTCTCTGCTAAAAAAAACAATATCCCAAAAAAAGGTCTGACAACCCTGTCAAACTGTTACCATAGCTACTACAAGGGCACAGAAAGAGATACTTCATGTGGAGGTTAATACACGGTGACCTTTTAAAAAAACTTGCACATGCACGATAGAAAAACTTACATTCTGGGCTTGTTGTCTTTTTGTTTTTTTTGATTGTTTGAACTTAAGCTTTGAACAGGAAGTTGAATTATCATTTTGAATGATCAGCATCTCTTCTTTCATTGCGTCACACTTGTTTTTCAGAACAATAAAAATTGTATTTTCATTTTGTTTTATTCTTTCTTTTTCTCATTTGCTGTTTTTATTTTTATCTAGTTTATATTAATTTATTTCTCTGGGGAGCGTGTATTGTCTGTTGAAGCACACGTTCCGTTCTGATGGGAGTGTCTGATTGCAATGGACCTTTATATCTGCTGTATTGTTCTAATAAAAGGTTTTTTGAATCTGTTATCGTGTGTTAGTAGTGATTAGTATGTGCACATTAAAACAGGCTTATTTAAAAATGCAGTAAATTCATAATTATTAATTTGTA